GACAGCGGACGAGCTAACTGAAAAGCCACTCTTTACAGAATTCTTTCGGCTCCCTCAAAGTCGGCTCATTTAAATTCTGCCAGTTTTTGCGGAGCTTCTTTCAGCCTTGTTCTGGGCTGTGGCTAACAAAGGAGCCCCTGGGCATGGGAACAGCCCTGGTGCTGATGGGACTGGATGTTTGTCCCTCACACCGCAGCCACCTCCCTCCCATGCTGCCTGAGCCCTGTCCCTTCTCCGCCCCTGAAGGAAGTGTGCACAGACTGACTGAAGCACACGCCCTTCCTGGTGATGGTGGCAGTAGGGGGAATGCTGCAGAGAGGCCACGGGTGTTGGGGCCATGGGAGCTGCCAGGTCCCTGGCTTGTCCTCCCACCCCCACAGGCGGCAGCCCAGCCCCGCCCTCAAGCCCCTCCTCCGCCCTCTGCAGGCTCAGCGTGCTGCTGCTGGTGTGTGCTGCCCAGGCCTGGCTCATGTGGCGCTTCATCCACTCCCAGCTGCGGCACTGGCGGGAATACTGGAACGAGCAGAGTGCCAAGCGGAGAGTCCCAGCTGCCCCCAGACTACCAGCCAGGCTCATCAAGAGGGAATCTGGTGAGCGCCAGGGCCCCAGGCACAACGCAGAGCCAGTGAAGTCTGTCTGGGATGTGTGTGGGTTGGGGGAGGCTGGGCCAGGCTCCTTGGGCACTCCCCAGGCCCATCTGCAGTGCCTGCTCCCTGACTCCATGCCTGGGCCTGGGGCTCCTTGGCTCCCTGACTGGCACGTGGCTGGGCAGGGGCCAGGACCGACTATGGGCGGGGCTGGCTCTAACTGGGCTGGGAGCCCTGGCTGCTGTGGGCAGGGCCATGACTGGGCGGGGAACTCTGGCAGGCCATGGCCTCAGGGTGGCTTCCGGAGCCTAGCCAAGCACTGCATGGCTGCTGCCACCCAGTCTCTGCCACACCGAGGCTCTGTCCTCACCTGCCCTTTTGCTCTGCATCTCAGCTGGCCCTGCCTCCCATGTTGCTGGCCCCTCCTCTGTTTTCAGGTGTGACTCACTGTGACACAGTGCTTCGTGGGCAGCAGGGGTGGGACACCCACTTCTCCTTAGCCCCTGCCCACATGCCAGTAATCACTCATCCTCACCAGGTCCCCAGGCATGGCCAGCCCTGCATTTTCTGTCCAGCCCCGGGGCCTGTCTGCGACTCACCTGCCTTTCTCTAGGCAGCCACTGCTTGGCAAAGACCTGTGTGTGCTTGAAGCAGACACATGCACAGCTGGGTGTGACCGGGAGTTTGGCCCAGCTGGCTAGAGAGGTAGAACGCGCCAGGCTGCCACCAGTCACGTCTCTTTGACTTTGAGCAAGCATACACTGTGAGGTGTTTTTAACAGCAGTGGAAGGACAGCACACTTTTCCTGCCAGAGGAGTATCAGGCATCTGAGTACAGCCTTGACCTCACAGGCTCTCATAGCCCATCCCTTTTGTTGCCACGGCCTTGTGGGTTGTTGCTGAAATGGGCTGACACCCTGCAGCAGCCTGGAGGAACTGAGGATCCTGGCAGCCTCTCAGTGATTCCAGGGAGTATCCAGTCCTGGCCTCAGGCCTGAGCAAGCAGGCCTCTTGTCTATGCCCAGCTTACCTGTGTTATTCCAGGCCCTTCTCACTACCCTCAGAGATCAAGCAAACCCCTCAAATGTGGCCACTTGTCTAAGACACAAGAAAGCAGGCGCCTCCTCGGGCTGTCTGCTAGCTTCTGTTTGCCGTGGGGAGCTGTGACCCAGTGTCTCTTTGGCTGGCTGGCGAGTAACAGCAGGGCTGCCCAGGCCCATCCTTCCCTCTCTTGTTTCAGCACCACAGAGACAACGTATCTCTTTGTCTCTCTCCACTTCCCAGGTTACCATGAAAATGGAGTTGTGAAAGCAGAGAATGGAACCTCCCCACGGACTAAGAAACTCAAGTCTCCTTAAGGCCAAAGTGCTGAGAACAGGAATCCTCGTGGTGGGGACCCAGCAGGGAGACGAGGGGCCCAGGCCCCATCGTGGCCTCTTCTTCCCTGCTCGTGCTGCTCCGTCTCCAACAGCAGAAGCCTGTCTTTAAACGGGGTTTTTCTCTTCTTACTTCTTGGCTTCTCTTCTGATTCTTCCATAAACCATTCTCAATAAAGCCAAAAACCTTCCTCTTTCTCACCCTCAAGCCACCTCATGTCTTCTCCTCTGTCCTGTGCTGGGTTTTCTAGAAGCCCAGGTTCTCCTGGTTATCTTTCTGCTTTCCTCTTCTTTCTCTTCTTCCATGGCTGCTTCTCTCTTCTTAATTTTACGTTACTGTGCAATTTCTGTCTGAAATTACAACGGGAGGGAGCTAAGACTGCAGTCCTGTCCCGCTAGTCTCCGGGACCTGCCAGTCTAGATGCCCTGTGCCAAGGAACTCGGCCTGGGGCCGGTAGCAGCCTCCATGGTGGTCCTCGTGTGGATGGGCAAGAAGAGGAAGGACCAGCCCTCTTGGATCATCATCTCCTTGGTGCTGATTAACTGACGAGATGTAGGATTCCAATTCTGCACGTACCATCTGGAGGCACAACAGCCACTGCTCGATGTAAAGGCCGAGGCTTTGGGCTTTGGGACCTGACGACTCAGTCCAGAAGGATGGTGTTAGCTCTGCCGGGTCCCAGGACTCGAGAGCTCACCACGGGTTGGTCTTGGATCAGAGACCAGCGTGCTGTCGCTGGGTGGGGAAGTGCTGGAGGAGCACAGGCCTTCCTGCTTGGAAGAGCAAGAGCAGAGCACGCTGAGCAGAAGCTCTTCCAGAGGGTGACGGCAGCAGAAGCGGCAGAGCCATTGACCTAGGCCTCCCTTCGGCAGTCCCAGCAGCAGCCGCCTTTCAGCCATTCACCAGCATTCTAAACCAAACCAAACAGCAGTTACGAAACCTGCCTGAGAGAAACTCCAGAACCAGCCAGCCCCGTCAGGGCCAACTTGCTACCTTGACTTCACCTCTTGAGCTGCAGAAACACAAAGCCTCCAGGGCTCCCGCCACACGCCAGCCCTGGTATCCCAGGAAGGGACCCGGTCCCCCTGGCCTCACCTGTTGAGTGGTCTTCAGATTTGTTGTCATTTGCTGATGTCTGTTGAGCAAACCTACAGCATTTTAGACCACATGAAACCAGGATGGACTCAGAGTCTCTCTTCTGGTTGGTGATAGGAGTCTTTTCGTCCTCTTCCCTCACATATTCTTTTCCTTCCTCTCCACCTGAGGACAAGGCCTCTGAGTCCTTTGGTGCCTTGAGAAAACTTCCAGGAGGGGAGTTAGGTTTTCACAGGTCCTGATTAAGAACCCCTGAACCGTGGTGAGGGGAGGGGAGCAGTTCCTGGTGGATGCAGGGACATTAGTCCTTGGTTCTCTTGTGATAGCACAGTAGGAGCTAACCTTGGAGTTTGACCCAAGAAGGGGGAGACAGGTCTTTTCATCAGAACCACGCCCCTTCTCCAGGTCACTTGCATCACAGGTAAATTTAAATTTGCTGGTAACCGGGATTTGTTTCCTAATAATCATTGTATACGTTCATCCCTCTGTCCAGGATAAGGTTGCAAAAATAGGGAAAATAATTACCCTTGGCTTCTTTCATTTTTTTCTTAGGAAGTGGGACAGTGTTTTTGAACATATGCATTTCTCTCCCTCTTCTCTCACGCCCCCTTACTCTCTTACAACAGAACGTAGGGAAAAGGGTAGCTTGCTATCCACCCAGCAGACCTGACCCAGAACCCCTTGGCCAGTCAAAGAGCTTTGGCATAGGCTGTGGTTGAATTCATGCTCCCTGTCCTGCCTGGGAGCTGCAAGTGAAGGGACTGTTTATCCAGCAGCCACCCCTTAGCGTGGATGCCCATCCTGGGCTCTCTCTGGCCTGTGGCTTTGGCAGGGGCCTCAGCAATGTCCTAAAGGAGCCTTATCTTCACCAGGTGATTCCAGGTGAAACTGCTGAGCCATGCCTTCAACAAACATGTATGGCATGCTTGAGATGTGCTATTTGTTATGTGCCGAGTGCCAGGGAGTCAGAGGGGAGCCTCCCATCTCGAAGACCTGCCATCCCACAGCCTCCATGCTCACAGTTGTTGGTTTCTATTGCTCTTTCTCAGGACACTCGGGTGCTTCAAATGACATGGCTTTATGCTCTCCAAGTCTCCTGCAAGCTGCTGGTGCTTCCAGTATATTGTGCGTTGGGTTGATACCACCAGCCTAGTCGCCCGGGTCGGCTTAGGTTTTGTGTCCTATAGGAGAAGGGTTTGCTCAGTGATAGCAGTTAATCTTTTCTATGCATAAAAAACAGCAAACCCTGAGACCACGTGAAGGCTGGCATCTCCCCAGCCTGGGCTTCAGGGATGTTGGTGGGGTTAGGAGGTAATTGTAAGGTACTTTATCCCCACTGGCCTTCCTGGCATATTTCACAGCAGAGCCAAGCCTCTGGCAGGTTGACACCATGTTGCCAGAGCTAGATAATTCAATCCCACTTCATCCTGTGAGCTTGTGGGGCTAGCATGTCCTAGTTTGGCTACTTCCTTCAGTTTTCTGCATACTCTACTCTCTCCAAACAAAGTGCCAACGCACTTGTGAAGGCCCTGCCAGACCTCCAGGTTGGACAGGCCAGCTCAACACCGTCGCCAAGAGCAGGGGAGAAGATGCCTGTCTACCTCAGCACCCGCTGCCCTCTCTCGACACCCCTGGCTGGCACGCGTGTTTGGGGAAAGCCAGCAGATGACAGTGGTAGGGAAGGGAGGCCAGGCTGGTGGATGGAGACTCCTGAGCTGCTGATTCCCTTTGGAGGTTCAGTGATGAGCAAGTTATTTTTACCATCCAGGCGCTGATAGCCGCACTATTAATAAATTGCATGTGTTCATTTGAAGGAAGGGGTGGTTCTGGGGGAGGAGGAGCAGGCCAAGGGTGAAGGAGAGCTACCATACCCATTCTAGTCACTCTAACCCCACCTGGGCATGGGCGCCAGGCCCAAGTGAGTGCCAGGAACCTCGTGTGATCCTGTCCAGAGGCAGAACTTAGCAGCATGTCAGAAACCAAAACAGACACCTGTGCTCGGCCACCTTCACAGATGCTTCTCTGGACTAGAATCCCTGGCACCCTAAAATCCACCGAGCCTGGGATGGGTGCTTCTTTTTTAGGGGGGGAAACCTTTTGCCCCAATACCCCTTGACCTTTCAAACAAGCAGTAAATAAGAGGTAGGGGCAGAGTACACCCCCTCCCAAGATCCCACAACATGAAATTATTCTATTCTGTGAGTGCTTTAATTAGAAGGGGCTGGTCGGTCCCCTGGTAGCTGGGGAATGCCGCGATTTGGATTTCCTTCATGTGCTTCAGCCTGCTCAGGATCGGTCTGGGTGGGAGAAGCGGGGAGGTCTGGACTTGACTCTGTTGTCTAAGGGCTTCAGGTCTTACCTTCTGGGGACTTTTATTCATGTATGGGAAGTGTCCTGTGAATCCGGACAGCCGCGGGAGGGTCTTTCTTGACTTACATGCTAACAGTTCTTTTTCTCAGGAGAGGACTTTGGGGATTACTGCAGAATTAGGTCAGCATCAGATCTTTTTGAAAGCCCTCTCCAGCCAAGGTTGGCCCAGTGAGGAAGCCTTTACCAACCTTCTTCCTGCTCACCATACTTCTTGCCCTAGTATTGACTCCACCTCCCAAAAGGCTGCAAAAGACAACTCCTCCGGGCTGCCTCTCCTCCCGCTCGCTCGCTCTTTTGTGCAGGCCCCTTAAGTAGCAGAGCGATGGGGAGAAAAGCACGGGGGGGCTGAAGGCTCTGGGTTTGAGCAGCTCTGTCTTCCTGTGTCCGAAGTGCCTTGCTCTGTCTGTAGCCTTCGCTCATACTGTGTGGCGAGCCCCAGCCCCCAGCTGCCGGGGCTTGAGGGCTGCTTGTCATCTGTGGCCCAGAACCCAGTACCTCAGTATAGTCACATAGAAAAGGGACACGCATTGTGACAGCTTCACCTCATTTGTTCGGGCCTCACCCCACCCCTCACCCCTCACTCCTTGCCGTAGGATCTCACTTGGTGTGTTCTCGATTTCGTTTCTGGCTCTGCCCTCGTGTCGGTTCTGGTGTGGCCTGACTGGGTTGTCGTGGAAGCCTGTGAAGTGGCTCAACTGCAGGCACCTGCGCCACTCCATATGGCGGGAAGCTCAGAGGCGTCCAGCCCCTACCCTGCATCCCCCTGTGCCGCTGGCCCGCACAGTGAGCCTTGCTCTTCCTGCTTCCCCCACACTCTCCAATCCCAGATTAAAAGTAAAGGCGCCCTTGCCATAGCCTCTCTGAACTGTTTTGCTTCCCATCCAGCCCGAAGTTTGTCTGATACAGTGTTTACTCCTCCTTCCCGGCTTAAGTGTTAACTCATAGGTAACCCCTGTTGCCAGTGGGTCCGGCCCAGCCGCTGCAGATCTGCCTGCCTCCTAATTCAGTGTTACGTGTAGTAGTGACAGCGACCCTCTTCCCTGCCCCGTGCCTGCCTGCCTGCCTTTTTCTTGTTCTTACGGGTTGTGCAATAACTCTCCCTGCCGGTGGTCTTCTCCATGGGCCTTTCTGTCCCTTGCAGCACCCTATTGGGGAAGACAGGGGACCCAAGGGAGGGGAGGTCATCATCCCTTACGGAAGAAACGTCAGCCGCTTTCCCTTTGTTGCTGTCATTCTCATGATCCTGGGTCAGTTTCTGTGGCACTCTTGTAGAACATGTAGCATCATCTTAGAAGCCTGTATGTTTTTTTGAAAATATCTGTTGGAAAGGAAGAACCATCCTCACGATGGGACATGAGTCGGCGTCTGGGCTGAGATCTGAGCGGTGCCCGTGGCCTCTCCATCGCTCTGCCTAGACGCATTTCAGAGTTTCTCGTTTGCGTGGGGAGGAGGAGACTCCCGAGAGTCAGCCACAGGTGGGCTGCCTGTTCCCCCAGGAGGCTCTGGCTGTGTAGAAAGTACCACCATCGCCTTGGGCACAGGTTCAAATGTTCCTGTGATGAGACCGTAGACCTCGTAGACCTTGTTTTTCAGTTCCCCTGTTAATACACATCTGAAGGATGAGCTGAGGCTGCTGGTGCCCTGAGCAACTCAAAATGCAAATGTGGACAAACTTGTCTCTTTGTTTTTCTAAGTTAGCCTGTGTGTGTTACGGACCAAATTTCAACCAGGAACTCAAGGAAAATTTGTACCTGCCGTATTTATGCTTTCATGTAAAAGGGTTGGGGGGAGGGGTGTCTTTTTACCTTTGGTGAACTTTTTCAAGTCCTTTTTCACTGTTTCTGTCTGGTTTTACAACAAATTACAGTTTTGTATGGATTTTTTTAATGTACATTTTGAAACAAATGATCGAGTATTTTCTGAAATAACTGAATAAAAGGCATAGAATTATCGGTCTTTCCCTGGCATTGGTCCTTGACATCTTCTATATAGTAATACTTTCTCATCTGGATGTCTATATTTGCTTGTATTTGAAAATTGACCGTGCATCACCTTTAGCCCGTGTGTCTAATATTTTTCACTATCGTAGTCATTTCTTGCATAACTTCAGAGACACTTGCCCATTGTGAATTAGGCAATTGAAGTTAAGAATGGGGAGAGAGGGACCAGCAGTTAGCGTAATGGCTATGTCGCTAGACTCCCATGTAGTTGGCTGCAGTTCGAGTCCCAGACCCGGTGGCTTAAACTCACACTGGGTGTGTGTGTGTGCATGCCCAAGATCCTGAGAGGAGAATGCAGGAGAAGAGACTGCAGTGTGGCCACCCCCCCCCACAGGGGGGTGATTTCTTGCTGTCTCTCTGTCTCTCTCTGTCTTTCTGATGAGCGCACGTGCCCTATAGGAAAAAAACCTCTACAAAAAATAAAAGGGGGGGGAGTGTCAGTTCTAGCAAGTGCTGGATAGTGTATTATTTCTAATTTCATTGAAGTCTGTGATGTGTGGGAAAGACTTTTCTAAAGATGGTTTGTACCAGCACCACCACAAGGTATACCATTCTTGGATGCCTGCTGTGCTGTGAAGCGTTCGACTTGGAGGAGATGGGTTTAGCTTGCATGCAAAGGCCATTACATGTGTTGGTGCCAACTAGAGGACATCCAAGCTTTAGTAATCATGGTGGGCAGTGTGGCTGCATTTTCCAGAACCATCTTCAGGAGACGTGCTCAGGAGATGACTGCTAGCCAAGGACACTCTCAGTGTGAGAAATGGAAACTCTGCTTGAGGTGAAGGTGAGTGGCTCTGAGGGCAGACTTTGGTGCAGACTTGAGTTTTAGTCTTGCTTCGCCGTTGGAAGCTGGGTGACCGAAAGCAGTTCACCTTTTATGAGCCTGTTTGCTCATCTGTGTCGTAGGGGTTTTGCTTTTGTTTTGTGGGGGATGGTAGTGGTAAGCTTTAGAGAAAATAAATGCAAGGTTCATGGTTCAAGGAATTTAATACATTTTTCTAAGTCAACATGTTCATACTTATGTGCTAGCAGGATAGTCAAGAGTCACTTGTCCAAGTGATCTTTGAGTCTTGAGAAGGCTCTACCAGATGGTCCCAGATTTCCTTAAAACCTAGATGGAGATTTGATACACCTGCATTAGATGGTATTTTCAAGTCCCCCTGGTGTGCAGACAGTGTACTCAGGTCTCAAAGTAGTGGCTGACACACAGCCTCTTCACCCACAAGGAAGATTTTTATTAGCCCTAAAGCCATAAGCCACCCTAAACCATCTTAGACATAGCCTTCAGTTAGTTAGACCTGATAGCTGTGACTACCCAGTGCCCTGGTAATACTGACAGTAACGCTAATTCTGTGTCTCAATTCCCTGGTGGCCAATTTGATGGGATAGTCATTTCTTCTTCCCAAAATATTACTGCTGTGGACTAGTGTGAAACTCTTCTGGAGCCCAGGACTCCAGGTACAGGCCAGCTGCAACCATAGCATAAGATAATCGGCATCTGATGACTGCACTGCCATCCAGGATTTCAGTAGGAAGTAAGTGATTTGGTTTTTCATGGCTCCTACATTTGCTACCTTGTATAAACAGGTGAGTAGTGAGTGAGGACACCACACCAAAGGCCTGTGGTTTTGGTTTCCTGTGAAGCAGCTTTTATACCTTGTGGTGGTGCTGGTACATCTCAGCTTCTCATCTTGGGTACACTTGGAAGGCAGTGTAACGTGAAGGATATGTGGGAATAGGGCCTGCCTTACTCAAGACAGCCATCTTTGAGATAACTTCTAGCAATTCAGTTACAGTGGGACTGACTTTAATACTGTGCTCATGCATTACATCCTATAGAAATCTACATTTTATCTAGTAGAAATGACACAGGAAAATACAAGAAGAATGGTCAGATCTGAGGTTAGAAGAGCTATGAGCACTTTTTAGAAGATGGGTAAAAGGATGTGAGATTTTCCTCTCCTAAATCTCCATTGTAGCTGAGGCTTCAAACTGAGGACAAAACTGGCAAGTGTTTCCATATGCCACAGACTGCTGCATGGAGTATGTGCTGAGGAGGGGCCCAAAGTTTTGAGACATCCCTCTTCTACAGCAGGCAGGGTTGATGGAGAAAACATTGGAGGGCATAGATTTGTTGAAAGGGGCTGTCAGAGTTCTGTGGCTCTGTAAGCTCAGCAAGGGGCGTCATTTCACAGACTTGGTTGGACACATGTCCCTTGAAGTTTGGAAAGCAAATGATTTAAAGTGCTCTAAAGATGGTTTGTACCAGCACCACCACAAGGTATACCATTCTTGGATGCCTGCTGTGCTGTGAAGCGTTCGACTTGGAGGAGATGGGTTTAGCTTGCATGCAAAGGCCATTACATGTGTTGGTGCCAACTAGAGGACATCCAAGCTTTAGTAATCATGGTGGGCAGTGTGGCTGCATTTTCCAGAACCATCTTCAGGAGACGTGCTCAGGAGATGACTGCTAGCCAAGGACACTCTCAGTGTGAGAAATGGAAACTCTGCTTGAGGTGAAGGTGAGTGGCTCTGAGGGCAGACTTTGGTGCAGACTTGAGTTTTAGTCTTGCTTCGCCGTTGGAAGCTGGGTGACCGAAAGCAGTTCACCTTTTATGAGCCTGTTTGCTCATCTGTGTCGTAGGGGTTTTGCTTTTGTTTTGTGGGGGATGGTAGTGGTAAGCTTTAGAGAAAATAAATGCAAGGTTCATGGTTCAAGGAATTTAATACATTTTTCTAAGTCAACATGTTCATACTTATGTGCTAGCAGGATAGTCAAGAGTCACTTGTCCAAGTGATCTTTGAGTCTTGAGAAGGCTCTACCAGATGGTCCCAGATTTCCTTAAAACCTAGATGGAGATTTGATACACCTGCATTAGATGGTATTTTCAAGTCCCCCTGGTGTGCAGACAGTGTACTCAGGTCTCAAAGTAGTGGCTGACACACAGCCTCTTCACCCACAAGGAAGATTTTTATTAGCCCTAAAGCCATAAGCCACCCTAAACCATCTTAGACATAGCCTTCAGTTAGTTAGACCTGATAGCTGTGACTACCCAGTGCCCTGGTAATACTGACAGTAACGCTAATTCTGTGTCTCAATTCCCTGGTGGCCAATTTGATGGGATAGTCATTTCTTCTTCCCAAAATATTACTGCTGTGGACTAGTGTGAAACTCTTCTGGAGCCCAGGACTCCAGGTACAGGCCAGCTGCAACCATAGCATAAGATAATCGGCATCTGATGACTGCACTGCCATCCAGGATTTCAGTAGGAAGTAAGTGATTTGGTTTTTCATGGCTCCTACATTTGCTACCTTGTATAAACAGGTGAGTAGTGAGTGAGGACACCACACCAAAGGCCTGTGGTTTTGGTTTCCTGTGAAGCAGCTTTTATACCTTGTGGTGGTGCTGGTACATCTCAGCTTCTCATCTTGGGTACACTTGGAAGGCAGTGTAACGTGAAGGATATGTGGGAATAGGGCCTGCCTTACTCAAGACAGCCATCTTTGAGATAACTTCTAGCAATTCAGTTACAGTGGGACTGACTTTAATACTGTGCTCATGCATTACATCCTATAGAAATCTACATTTTATCTAGTAGAAATGACACAGGAAAATACAAGAAGAATGGTCAGATCTGAGGTTAGAAGAGCTATGAGCACTTTTTAGAAGATGGGTAAAAGGATGTGAGATTTTCCTCTCCTAAATCTCCATTGTAGCTGAGGCTTCAAACTGAGGACAAAACTGGCAAGTGTTTCCATATGCCACAGACTGCTGCATGGAGTATGTGCTGAGGAGGGGCCCAAAGTTTTGAGACATCCCTCTTCTACAGCAGGCAGGGTTGATGGAGAAAACATTGGAGGGCATAGATTTGTTGAAAGGGGCTGTCAGAGTTCTGTGGCTCTGTAAGCTCAGCAAGGGGCGTCATTTCACAGACTTGGTTGGACACATGTCCCTTGAAGTTTGGAAAGCAAATGATTTAAAGTGCCTGGTTCTCACCTAAAACAAGTCTTAAGGAAAGACTAACAGCACAGCCAAGAGAGCCATGTGGGTGAGAACATGGACTTATGGACACCCTGGAAGGGCACATTAACCTGAAGGGGCCTTCACCAAGAGGACCTGCTGAGAGGATGAGGAGACCCCTCAGGGCACATGTTAGAACTGGGCAGTCAGTTGAAGACTGGACCATCTGCATCTGAGAATGGTGCACTGGAAGGTTTCCTGGTGGGAAGGTGTCCTAAGAACACACGCACACGTGCCCTGGAAGAGAGCCAGCCTTTGGGCACATATCACTCAGGGACCCAACCCAAGATTATGGCTTGCCAGTCAGAAATAAGACTTTGCCCTTTTCCCCAGTTTTTCACCTCTTAAACCTTCCCAGGCCCTACAAGGGCCAGAAGCATCAATGTGGCTGAATAGGGAGAAATGAAGCAAAAGCTGGAAGGAAGAAGAAACACCTCATACCTGCCCCAACAGACACACACACTCTTTAGGCTTCCAAAACTGGGGCAGGGCTAAGCTGAGGGAGGTAGGATACAGCTTAGTGTTGTTTAGACTGAAACAGATTTTTTAAATACTTAAAAAAGGAGACTTTTTAAAAACAGGAATGATTGGGGGATAAATAAAACAAGACCTGGGTTCTTCCAAAAATAATGGGTTGTCAGAAAAGTCATGATGCGTTTTTGCATAGAAATACATAGAAAACAATACATCATGACTTTTCTGATAGTCTAATAACGTGGAGCAGAAAAGGAGTCAATGTAATACATTTCCCAGCCCTTTTTATATGCTGGTTAGGGGTGACCTAGCTCATTAAGGAAAAACCAATGGAAGTTTCCCAGCAGCCCTGAGAGGACCCAGCCATCCTAGGTGCTCTGTGACTCCATCCACACTCATGCTATATTTGGGGTAGTAGAGAGGAATCTAAATTTGTGAAGAAGCTGGTGGCTGGCTTCAGCTAAAATTGGCTCTGCTTTTAGAAAGTCAGTCAAAGCTCCTTAGGGAACCAATAACTACTACGAGTCTTCCCCTCCCTATCTCAAGGCAAGGTTTCTAAAAGCAGTATTTTTCTGATCTTTTTCCCCCTACAATCCATATAAAAATTATGTTACACTCAACTGAAACAGACATTTCATGAAATTGAGACCAGATGGTGGCACAGTGGTAAGACAACTGGACACACACAGGAGAGGCCCTGGGTTTGTGTCCCAGGACCCCCATGAGCATGACAGGCACTCATGATCTGGGCTGGCTGAGACTGGGGGCAAACCACAGCACTGAGGCCCCTACTGGGGTCTCTAATGGGAGAAATGACAAACTTGAAAAAAATACCCAGGCCAACTCCGCAGCCTTGTAGTCAAGTCAGCCAGATCCCACATGGCTAACTGAGCAGTCTGAATCTGGCCCTGGCAGCTTGAAAAACATGCTGGGTACATGTGTGTCCGAAATTCCAACAGGGTGGAAAAATGAAGAAGAGATTGTGACATGACCATGTTCCATCAAAGGGGATGCTTACCCTCTCTCTCTGAATAGTGTGCAATTATACATGTGTGTGTGTAAATATGGCAAAATTATATCAATATATACATATACACACACACATATGTATAGTATATATCCTACTATGTATGCCACACTCTTATCTATTATATTCCTTTTTTTTTTTTTTAATGCAGTTCTACTAATGGGCCTAGAACCACAATTTGAAAAGCATATGGTGTATTTCCTTACTATATTGGAGCAGCTGAGTGGATAGTGATAAACCCATTAACTAGTAGCAAAAGTGGTATCATATGTGTATTTACAATATCCCAAATGTTGCTTCTAGCAAATCTATAATTCCTCCTGCTCTTTATCATTTTACATCCATATTAGTTGGGGTTCCCCAGAGAAACAGAATAACCTGGTGTGAGTGTACGCACATGTGTGCAGAGAGAAAAGGTCTGGCTCATGTGATTATGGAGGCTGATAAGTCCTGACATCAGCAGGGTAAGTTAGGGAGATGGAGACCCAGGAGAGCGGGGGTGTAATTCCAGTCCAAGTCGGAAGGCCTGAGAGCCAGAAGAGCTGATAGAGTTGCTTCAGTCTGAAAGCCAGTAAGCTCTGTTGTCTCAGTTTGAATCCGAAGGCAAGAAAAGGTCCATGTTGCAGTTTTAAGGCCATCAGGCAGGAGTTCTCTTACTTGGGAGAGGGTCAGCCTTTTATTCTATTCAGGCCTTCAAATGATTAGATGAGAGCCACCTATATTAGGGAAGGCAATCTACTTAGTCTACTGATTCAGATGTTAATCTCGCCAGAAACACCCAGAACTATGTTTTGATGAAATAGCTGTACACTCTGTGGCCTCATGGAGTTGGCACTTAAAATTACCCATCACAATATATACCACTCCAAATAAGGCATTAATCTTAGATCCTATTAAGATCTCATTTAATTTAGACTTCAGTAGCAGTGAATTGTAAGAACCAGAAAAGAAATACGACTTCAGGAACTCTGTAAATGCCCTTTTGAAGAGTACAAGATACATTTCACAGTGTAGGTCTAACATCCAAAAGTTGTACTGCATCATCTCATCAGCCAGGTCAGTTTGAGAAAGCCCGCACAAAGTTATAGTAATCAATCTTGTCTTCTCCGTGAGAGCATATCCTGATTAACTGCAGAAGAAAGCAAGAAAACAGGTGAGACAGATATATATTCAGGACTTTCTTCAGCCTAATTGCAGAGCATTGTCCTATGTAAGGACCCCCAGCCTTTCTTTTTGTTGTTGTTATTATTATACTTTATTTTTAGAGCAGCCTCAGGTTAGGACCCCCAGCCTTTCTAAACCAGTTCAGAGTTTTGGTATTTCAGTTGAATCGGAAATGATGCTGTGGTCCTTGCAGGGAGATCAGACATTATCCCAGTGACACTGAGGGAAACAAGCTGAATGGAGTAAATGGCCTGCCCAAGATTTTAGGACTAACATTGTTATTTTTAAAGCACCTTTAATTGTTTTTATACCTTGTTTCAAATACCAGATTTTGTCCATCCAATCTAAGGGGATTAAGATTCTTGAAATAGCAGGCTCTTGTCATCACAGCCTGATAGGAGAAGCTCAGACTGTGTCCCCTGAAACTCAACGTGACTGCTAATAGACTGGTGATGGTTCTGTTTCTTAGATGCGCAGACCTGCCCACCTGCCCCTTCCTAGTCCCATCTGCCAGTGATTATTGTTCCTCTCTCCCATGTCAGACAGTATGAATGACTTGAAAATCAAAAGCCGGGCATGCTGTCAATCTAAGGTTTGAGGAGCTAAATGGATGTGAGGTACACGTGAACAAATATCCTTCCATTTGCCCTCCCTCACTCCCTGCTCATGTTTCAACCTATGACAAATCCTCATCTCCAACCTAGTCTCTTTAGCCCTGACCAAAATCCTTTCCAAAATGATTCTTAATTTCTGGAAAGAGCTTAGAAAAGAATATCAAAGTTCTTAATCAGTGAGACTATCTCTAAGATAATAAGCCCGAGTGGTGGGCAAATTATACAAGATTTTTTTATCTGACTTCCAGAGGAACGCTGGCTAAAGTTTAATAATGAAGAAAAGGCATAAAACTCCCTCTTCAAATCACTTGTGAAAATTCTAGAAGAAAAATTTCTATGACTTTTCTCTCTTTGCAGCTGGCTATGCTTCTCTCTTACTGACAGACAGTGCTGCCCCTGGGCAGTGGTCTCTCCCCTTCCACTCTAGCCTTCCTGATAGGCTGATGTAGGCATTGCTGTTAAGGGTTCAACGGCTGCCAACCACCCTGCTCAATTACCTTGCTTCCCCATCCCCCTTTGGAAGCTGCCCCTCCAGGATCACCTCTGATCCCTTCCTCAGCTCTAACACACAGGTTTACCAACCACTCTATGCCATCTAGCCCTATTCATGACCTTTTAAGAGGGTGGCCTATAGTAGCAATAGGAAAATGCCAATGCTATAATCTGGGAAATACCATAATCATGACAGAGAGAAATCTGATTCAAACATCCTAAATCTTCCCCAGTATTAAAAAATATACACATGTTGGGACCAGGAGATGGTGTTATGGTTACATTGCTGGACTCCCACGTAGTTGACTGCAGTTCGAGTCCCAGACCCAGTAACTTAAAACTCACACTGGGCGTGTGTGCATGTGTATCCAAGATCCTAAGAGGGGAATGGCGGAGGAAGGATTGCAGCATGGCCACCCCCCCTGGGGGTAACTTCTTGCTCTCTGTCTCTCTGTCTTTCTCTGTCTCTTCAGGGAATGCAAGTGCCTAATAGCAAAAATCTCTCTCTAAAAAGCCCAGAAAAAAACAAAACCAAAACCAAAAACAAAAACACACATGCAATTACTGTTAGGAAAGTATTACCAGTGCCCAAACTCCATAATAAACCCAAAAAAGTAATTCACACTAACCTCCTTAACCAAGGAGTCATCAATTGGGACATTAAAAGATTCACAGATTTTAAAGAACCTCTCTCTGTCCACATATCCTGAAGCTTCATTGTCATACATTTGAAATGCCTCACAAATTCTGTCTTTGCATGAAAGGTCTTTCAGATGCTTCTGGATTGTGTCTATTAATGTTTCCAGTTCCTGCACGCCTGGGTCCTCTTTAGTTGGCTTGCTGTAAAGAAAGGAAGGAAATGACTCGACATTGTATTTACTCTTGACAAATCTTATCTCCGTGACCAAAGTTCTCAATGATGAAGTCAGAGAGGGTTCTTAGTGACAGCGACAGCTTTGACACCCATCTGACCAATGATTGAACACTTGCCCATAGGGTAGGCTGATGGCTGACCTCCACATCAGGAAGACATCAATGGGGCAGCTTCTGAACCACCTCCCTTCCCGCTCAGCCTCCCTTCCTGCCATCTGCTAAATCACTGCACCAGAGTCAAATCTATTACCACCACCACCCCAAATTTGGTGTTTGTGGGAATCACATTGTTGGCATTTACTGCTGTTGCAGATTAATGTTACTTCATCTAAAAATAAGTGCCCGTATAAAAATAAATAAATATAACTACGCTGCCAGGAATCTCTTGTAGTTTCTTTTAACATTCTCTCTTCAATTC